GGTTTACACTCCCCGAGTGCTTCTAGTATTTTTTTTTTACTTAACATAAAAATTGTTAATTATATCAATGGTAAACTTTAAATTAATGATTAATTAAATGCAACAAAATAAACAAATTTAAAAGGTGAAAGATAATAACCATTGTCCTGYCCCTGAGCTGCTTTAAGTAACTGAGCAGTTTAGTTGGATAGCACAGTAATGTCTGAAAATAAGCTGCTTTAAAGTCAGCATCAACTATTAACTAAGTCTGTCATAATGCATATTAGCTACTCACTAGAAACTCATCAGTGAGTAAAACATTTTTAGTTTTACTTTTAATAATATTTCTGTATTTATTTCAGATTTAGTCAGTCAGACACTTAGTTCTAATCAGTGTTTAAAAGAGGACATGTTGAAACACTGTTTAGTCAAAGTTAAACATGAAATGTCAAAGTTAACTACAACTGGCCCTTTGAGGGACATCATAACACTCATGTGGCCCTCGGTGAAAATGAGTTTGACACCCCTGCTTTAAAGCATAGTCTGTAAAGCAACATTAGCTTTGTTGATTCACTCCAAACCAGTAGATGTAATTTGCATTTCTTTTCTTTCTTTTTTGTTTGTGTTTTTGCAACTTTTTAAAAATTCATTCAAAAATCACATTACCTTTTGATGGTTACATGGCTACTGTCAGCTGCTCACTGGGGGCTGAGGCCCCTCGACAGGTCAGATCCTAGACACGCCCCTGACAGGAACTAGATCCTTGGTTTCTGTTCTGGAGATACTCAGCTCTTCAGCTGCTGACTTTGTTTTTGTTCTCTGCACACAATTACRACGAATGCTGCTTTAATGCTGAGTCAACATTCACCATATTATYTAAAGTTTTTATAATKTTTATACTTTTCTAAATATTTGACTTGATTAATTATGTTTCCATAGAAAAACAGAACTGTTTGGATCCTTCAAAAACRTTTTTCTCTGTGAAATCTTCTTCAGCATGTTGGCTCTATTTTTGTCTTGTTCTATTTTTAGCTTTTACCTAGCCTTTTGATACCTTAGCTTTTAAGTAGCCTTTCCATACTTTAGGGTTTTAGCTAGCATTTTACTTCCTCAAGCTTTCAGCTAGCTCAAAAAACTTTGCTTCTTCAGCAAATCTTTGCAAATTAATTCAACATTTATGCTATTGTGTCACAGAAAATGTCAATTCTGCAGTTTTTTTGTACAATTTAAAACTTTTCAAACATTTTGACTAAGTTTTATATTGAATCCTGAGYAGACTTGTTCTCACTTTAAATCAATGCTTTACCAGCAAACCTTAATGCATGTGTTTTCTAATGTAATTTGGACTTAGATGATTGTTTGCATGTGTGTAKACATGTTTTTGCTACCTGGTGGGGATGATTTYTGACCATTTTCCTGGTACACACAGCCTAGWGAGRACCCACKGTTWCTCATGAGGACAAAACCCCTRTCCCCATTCGGAGAAATACCATTGGTGGGTCAGGGGTTAGATATGTACTGGGGTGGTTAGGTTTAGGGTAGGGGGTCAGGGTTAGGCTGTAGAAATGAGCTGTAAATGAATGGAAGTCAATAAAAAAATCCCCTTAAGGATAGAAGACTAAACTCGCGTGTGTGTTCARTGCTGCCTTATCTTAACCTAATGATGTCAGTTACTTGTTAAAMTTTACTAAAACAAACTGAACATAATTGTTTCCACAGATGCACTCTCTGCGCCTCCTTAGCCAGAACGAACCCTACAAGATCTTCCTGAGTATGAGCGACAACACCCGGCCCACCCAGCCTCTGCTGCAGCGCTGCATTAGAACCAACATCAACTTCAGCAAGCAGGGTCGCGATTGCCCAAACAACCGTGCCCTTCGACCACAGTACAGAGGTAATACAGTTAGTGATTGGTGTCAATATACCCCAAACTGCTAAAAGATTACTTTTCTATTACCACTTCCTCAGCCTTTAGGGCTAATTAGGGTAGGTTTTACATGCTTGTGCCAAGACTGGAGATATTTTTACCACCATTTTTATACAAACTGTCAAATTCATTGGTTCTGCTAAATCACTTATAAATAACTCTAAAAGTTTCAGTCAACGTCAGCGAATCACTKTAAAAACTTTAGACAGTGAAATGCTCCAGACTTTGCTGAGCATGACAGAAGCTACTGACACGTACAATCATTCTGTGCAACCCATTCTCACTCCCGAGTCGTCACATATTGACGTTTTTCAAAGGTCCCTTTGCGTCCAATTTTGACGCATCAGGTACCCCCCTTGCGTCATATTTTGACGGGATGGGGCGGAATCTGTTGTCGTAATTTTTCAAAGTGTAGAAAATGCACAAATAGTACCGTCCCAAAGCGTGAAATTACGTGTATTCACTTTAGACATCCTGTCCCAGACCCTAGTACCTAAAATTAACCATTAACCCTGATACGTAAAATTAACCATTTTTAGAAAATGTAGGAAATTCATGGCAACTACGTGTTGCAAAGCCTAAAATTACCTAATGTTCACTGTAGACATCCTATCCCTGACCCCAGTCCCTAAACTTAACCATTTATCCTGATCCCTAATGTTAACCTCAGACCCCCGACCCAAAGACCCCTGGTGGCGCAACCCGGAAAAGCCGCGGGCGGCAAGGACTGACGCGAGGGGGGTACCTGATGCGTCAAAATTGGACGCAAAGGGACCTTTGAAAAACGTCAATATGTGACGACTCGGGAGTGAGAATGTGTTGTTCTGTGTCAGACCCTTGTTTTACGTATTAAATAGCTGGCTGGATTTATTAAATTAATTTTGATCAAAAGGTTATTTTTAATTTCCTCTTAATCAAAGCACCATGTCAGGTTTTTTTTGCAATAGAACTTAAAAAAAGCTATGAAAATGACCTAATCCCACACCTGCCAACCTACCTCTTCTCAATCTGTGAGGTTGTTGTATTCATATACACTGCCTGGCCAAAAAAAAGTGTCCACCTGGATTTAACTAAATGCTATGATGTGGGGCTGCTGCAGTTGGTCAGGTCTAGGTTCAGTAATGTYATGTGCTCAAAGAATGAGGTCAGCTGACTACCTGAACATACTGAATGACCAGATTATTCCATCAATGGATTTTTTTTCTTCTCTGCTGGTATAGGCATGTTCCAAGATGACAATGGCAGGATTTATCAGGCTCAAATTGTGCAAGAGTGGTTCAGGTAGCATGAGACATCATTTCACACATGGATTGGTCACCAGAGTCCAGACCTGAACCTAAATTAGCCACTAGGAAGCACACGACAGTGTAGTTCTTGTGTGGGTCCCAATCTTGGATAAATGGTTGAGTCAGAAAGGGTTTCTGATATAAAATACTTTGGCCAAACCTAACCTAAGAGTTCAGCCAGGGCCAGAAAGAACTGCATTGTGTCTCTGTGGATTTAGAAAAMGCAAATAACAGAGTGCTGAGGGAGGAGCTGTGCTGTTGAATGAGGAAATCTGTGGTGGCAGAGAAGTATGTTAGACTGGKWCATGWCRTATGATGACAGRGATGTGCTGTAGGAGTGACAGATARCATCAAGGTGGAGGTGGGACTGATCATTGGTCTCTGAGACCCTTCTTGTTTGCTCTGGTGATGGACAGACTAACAGATGAGGTCCGGCAGGAACCCTCAATGACTATGTTGACTATGTTGGCTGTGGTGAGAACAGGGAACAGGTGGAAGAAAACTTAGAAAGTTTCAGGTTTACACTTGAAAAAAAGAGGAATGAAAGTAAGCCATAATACAACAGAGTCCATGTGTTTGAATGAGAGGGTAGTTCTATGGAGGCACAGTGAGGCTACAAGGAGCAGAGGTCACAAAGATGCAGGACTTCAAGGACTTAGGGTCAATTGTCCAGGATAACAGGGAGTGTTGTAAAGAGGGGAAGAAGRGAGTCCAGGTGGGATGAAGTAGGTGGAGAAAAGTTTCAGGAGTGATTCATGAMAAAAGGGTGGCAGCAAAGGTCAAAGGAAAGGTTTACGAGAGCAGTGAGACCAGATATGGTGCATGGTTTGGAGACAGAGACGTGGACAAAAAGACAGGAAATGGAACAGAAAGGATCAGAGCTGAAGATGTTGAGGTTCTCCTTGACAAGGATGGAGAAGATTAGGAATGAGATCATCAGAGGTAAAGAACTAGGAGATAAAKTCAGAGAAGCCATGCTGAGATGGTTTGGACATGTCCAGAGAAGGGATAGTGGGTTTACTGGTTTATTTTTAGAGGGAGAATGGATAAATTGGTAGAAGGATGTTCGAGATGCAGCAGGGTATATTGGTTTGGACATGTCCAGAGAAGGGATAGTGGGTTTACTGGTTTATTTTTAGAGGGAGAATGGATAAATTGGTAGAAGGATGTTCGAGATGCAGCAGAAAAAGATAAAGAGGAGACGTAGATGCAGTTAGAGAAGACATGGAGGTGGAGTGGGGACAGAGTGAGGTGGAGGAGGATGACTCACTGTGACGACGCCAGGAAAGGGAACAGCCAAAAGAAGACTGCAGACCTGAACCCACTGGGAATCTTTGGGATGTGAACACTTAAAGCAATGGTCCTAATCTTCCATCATCAGTAGAAGCTCTTGGCCAAAAATYAATGCAACACTGGACATAAATAAATGTTGTGACATTGCAGAAGCTTGTAGAACCGCTGACACAGCAAATGTGTGCCATAATCAAAGCTAAAGGTGGTGCGTGACCTTCGCTGTGCAGTGTARCTTGGAAATAACTATTTTTGATAAGTTGAATTAAGTAGTTGTYAAGTTAAAATCTTTTTCACATTAAGTCATAACTTTCATTATTTTTGCAAATGGGAGTAAAAGTGTTAATGCAAAAGCACCAGTATCTGAGTTTATACAAACTTCTGTTCTGCAACACATGCCAAACTCTGATCTGACTGCAGACAAAAGGAAAAAAGTAAATAAAACCTGTTCAGCAGCTAAAACCAACAAATCCATCAAAAAGTTCATTTTCTCAATGAATTAAAGTTGAATTTTAAGTGTAAGTTAAATAAGATCCATTTGTGGCAAACATTTATTCAAACAAATAATTAATCAATTTTCAATTACGTAACTCAATTGTAAAGCTTACATTCAAAATGTGTATTGGAACTTTCTACTTTAAACACGGTCCAACTCAGAAAACATCATAGTTATTCACAAACACTGAGTTTTAAAATGTTTGTTATAAAAACGTTGCAGCCAAACTTTTTCCAATCTTCTCCCGATAATGGACTAATTTAAAAAAAAAGCTATCTGAAGTTCAGACTGGCAGTTGGGTTTAAATTGTATGAAAGAGAGATTTGAAAAAGATTGTAGCTTCACAGTTCAACTCACATCTGATTGCAGTTTTAAAATGGTTTTCCAAATGTCTCTGGAATCAAACAAAGATGTTCTTTTGCAATGCTCAGTATCATAATCAAAAAGAACCTGACCAACCAATTAACTAAGGCTTTTCTGCTACTTCGGACAAGGACTGTACTGCTTATGCTTTTCTCATCTTTGTCTCTGACCCGTGCTGAGAGTTCCTTCATGATGTCTCATGCTTGGCTCTTACTACTTAGAGGTGTTAAAGTGGGGCTATCAGAACAGATGGCTACATACTGAGAGCCTCTGACACTTAGATGAGGTCCACCTGTGAGCGATATGTGTGGTCTCTGAAGGTAATGGTTGGAGCTTCAGAAGCAGAGGAGCTGAGTACATATGCACACCACTTTYCATTTTCATTTGAACAAGTATTTTTCTAATTTAACTTTATCAACCCGGTGTATTTTTGCAGATTATTTGCTTGTAATCAAACTTTAAAAATCAGTAAATTACATTTTTTTAAGTCCACAAAATGGAAAGTTGCCATGAGGAATTAATACTTTTCCATATTTTTCTTTAGCATTGAATCATTTTCTGGCTAATTGTTTATAAAACACAAGGTTTTATTTTATTAAAATGAGGAGGAAAACGTCTGCTGTCTAAAGGTTGGTCTTTCTTTAAGTGGTCAGAGTAACAGTTTGTGTGACCAACCAGATTCTTACAATCATGCACCTTTTATTGCTTGAACATTTTTCACCACAGTCATGAACATCTCTCAGGTAATTGTGTCTGGCTCAGTGTTTTTTGTAGATGACTCCCTACAGCTACTGATAGATACAGATCCATTTTTACACCTGTCACAACCCATCAGTTTTAACAGTTTCTCTGACAGGAGCACCGCTTTAACAGGCTCTGGCCTGATTACTCTGCTGTTCAACAGAATATATTTAGAAGGATGATGCAGGATTAAGTCTCATTACTCACACAATTTTTCCAACAAAACTATAAGGGTTCTGTTTCACCAATTGTTCATAACACTCAGCTCTGTTCCTCCATTTAACATGTTTTTGGTAGTCAGTTATAGCATGAGTCGACAACCCAAAGCCAAAGAATGGTACTGATCATTAAATCATTTATTACTGATTTATTATCATTTATTACACCAAAATAATTTTTAAAATTTTATAAAATTCTATGCAAATGCATTGATACAAAGTGCACTTCAGGATTTTTTTTAATAAACCTTTCTTTTTGTGCCTCTTTCCTGTACTTGACTTAGTTTTTGAGTTTCATTGATTAGCAAACCTATAAGCTAATCTTACCAGACCTACTAGTTAACCTTACCAAACCAACAAACTAACCTTACTAAACCAACAAGTTAATCATGATAAACCTACAAGTTAAACCTCCCAAACCTACTAGTTAACTTACCAAACCAACAAACTAACCTCACCAAAATTACAAGCTAACCTTACAAAACCTACTAGATAACCTTACCAAACCTATAAGTTGACCCTATCAAACCTACAAGTTAACCTAACCAAACCAACAATCTTACTTTACCAAACCAACAAGCTAAACTTCCCAAAACAACTAGCTAATGTTACCAAACCTACTAATTAACTTGACTTAACAAACACACTAACTCTACTAAACCTACAAATTAACCTGAACAAACCTACTAGTTAATCCTAGTAACATATAACATTTACTGGAAAATGTATATTCCCCACTAGACTGTGAAAAAGTTTTTTGTCTGTAAATCTTTCATTTAAAAATAACCTGAGAACTGCTAACTGAGGACTCTGGATAAACATTTGAAGATTTTTGGCTCAAGGATTAAGGTGTAGGATTGTGTTTTCTGTTGGCTGGTGTCTTCCTCCCTCTGGTGTTTCTTCATCTTAATTATGCCTCAGATGTTTTCCTGTCACTTCCCTCCTCAGTCAATTACACACACCTGTCAGTAGTTCCTAATTAGTGTTTCCATCAGCTGTAGTTCATTTCATCATTCCCTCAGTTTGTATTTAAGCCTGGTTCAGCTCTCACTTACTCACTGGTTCATTGTTGGTCTTACCTCCTGTTATGGTCCCTTGTTTTCTCTTGAGTTTTTCTTGTTTTTTGCTGCCACGTCAGCTTTTCGTTTATTTAATAAATCTTTTATTTAAAACTCATCTTCTCCGTCCGGATTTGGGTTCATTCTCCTTGTCAACCTTAACATAAGGAGCTTCCTCTGAATTGTCTTCTTTCTCATGTCTTTTACATCACAACTTATGAAATTTAAAACTCATTTGTTTAGTTTTTTTCCTCCCAACTGATTTTGTTAATTTTCTCCTCTTGTCTCTTCTCTCCCTCAGTCAACCAGTGGCTCCTGAAGTAGAAGATGAAGTTGTGAAGCTGCAACAGCACGGGAGAGGAGGCAGTAGTCCTCTTCACTATAAAGTTCATCTTAGCTGAACAATAAGATGAACTGAGTGAAGAACCCAAAAGCTGCTTTTAACTAAAGACAGCTTTACTAAACTGCCATCAGCTAAGCTTCTGAACTCCAAACCAACTGCTGTGCAGGCTTCCCACATACCTGCAGTGGGGCCAGCACTCAGGTTGGTGTAAAGTGTGAAATAGACCATAAGGACTCTGATGTCTTCGTTGTAATGTTGTTTCATTTGTTGATTCAAGCTCAGAAAGACTACATTTGTTTCTGTCTGGTTTTCAGAGAGATAACTATTACTTAAAGGCAAGGCTGTGTGATGTCAGACCCTCAGATTTGATTAAAACCATCACCCATGCACAGGAGGAGGTCATATTTCTTATTACCTGGACCCCCCAGCAATAAATAACCCTCAGCAAGACATAGAAAGACAGTATACTGATACTATAAATATTACTTAGGTTGTTTAGCTAACTGGAAGGTGGAGAGGCTACGTAGAGGGAATATGCTGAAATAATGCTGTATTTATATAATTCTGTAGTACACTAGTACTCTTCATGTCTCTACATGAAGAGGGAGTAAACGGGGTAGAGTGAATGGGAACTAGTGACGAGGCATTTGTGGTAAGACAGAAAGAGAAGGTTTACAGGACAATAGTGTGTCCTGCTGTGATGTCTCGTATTGGAAAGAGTGGCACTAGCAAAAAGACGAATCTGATAAAAGATTTGCTTGAGATGACAGTGGTGAAGATGTTCAGATTTTTATTTGGACGGACCAAAATGGACAGGACTACAAATGTGCATCTTGGCGAGACGGGTCAAAGGAGACAAAGTTAGAGAGGCGAAAGTGAGGGTTTGGACCTGTTAAGAGAAGGGACAGTGGACATATTGAACAACAAAATTATTTTATGAAGCTGCCAGGGAGGAGAGGGAAAAAAATATAGAGAAGGTTCATAGATAAAGCAGAATCTACAGAGGTTTGGTGTAACAGAAGGGGAGATGGAGGCAGAAGATCCACTGTTGGAGACCCATTAAACCAAAATTACGAGGAAATATGCATATTTTCAGATTGGACCTCACAGCCTCACTTGGTTGCAACTGTGTTTTCAACCAAGTGACCAGAAAGCTGTGTGGCTGTGTTTTTGAAAATCAGAGGCTATTTTTTGTGTACATGGCTTGGAAAAGAGTGTCCTAGGTCATGCACATTATTTTGTTGTCCACCTCCTCCCACATTGTACCCATATCACCCTGTGTTTTTCCCACCAGGTTTCAAAGAGTTTTGAGCAAAACTGAAGAAAGATTTGATGGCACGGTATTGTTTTGAAATATTTTTAAAAAGAAAAGAAAATTTAATTTCTACAGTTTCCCCCCATACCTGCTGCTATTGACTTCAATGATTATGTTCGTTAACATCATACGGTCTTACAGATGGAGATTTCCACGGATGTTGCAACTTTTTTTGTTAAGTTTACGCCATCAGATAGGAACAATTTTTGTTTTTTGAGTGTGTTGTACAGTTTGAAATATTTGATGATATTCATCTAATACATAAATAAGTAAAAGATACCTGAAGATCTAAAAGCTTTGCATGAATTTAAAATAGTTCACCCATGTTTATTGTAGATGATAAAGCATTTAAAAAAACATCTGATTACCCCAACCCTTTGTTGTTCACAGCACCAGTTCTCAATACATAGTTCCCATTAGACTGGACCAGAACCTAGTTGTATTCAAAAATCCACCATTTTGGTTAGGATATCGGTAACCAGTGTTACCTGTGAACAACGGTACTGAAATGTTTTGTTCAAGTTCAGTTTTTGAAATTGTCGTGAACTATGGCTTCTGCAAATTCTACCAGACTTCATAGAGACACATTGATAACAGTGTTTCCCTAGCCTGGTCCTTTCCTTCCTACACAGTTCCACTCAATTCTAGTTTCCCTTCACTGCTCCATCTGGGATTTCTCCCATAGACAAGGATTTCTTCAGGAGAGTTTTCGTCCGGGCCAATCAGCAAACAGAAGGCGGAGTTTTGAAAAGTGTCTGCTAGTTATTTTAGCAATGGCAGTGGAGGAAGTGAACGAAGCCAGTCCAGGTTGATAAGGCTTCCAAATTAAATTAAAATTGTTTGACAAAGCAGCAGATCTCATTTACAGTCGTCTCGGTACTTCTCTCTTCTTGGTAGGGTTGTTTACAACACACGCAATTTCCGGTTAGCTTCTTAGCTTAGCCTCCTTCACAGTGGAGCTGGCATACACATACATCATGGCCAACAGATCCAATCATTTTAAACTTCAGCAGAGGCCACGCCTCCAACAAGAATCGCTTCTCAATAGCCGCAAGTCCAGACCCTCGTATGAAGCAAAGCGAATGACAAGGGTCTGGTTTTAACCAGGCTAGCGTTTCCTTGAAGAGGTACAAAAATTTCTGTCATTAAGACTTATCCGTACAAGGTGGAGAAAGTGTGATTTATTGTCATAGTGAATTATCTAATTCACAAAAAAGGACTTACACCATACATTCCTTCAGGTCTTTGGACACTTTCCATCAAAGTAGTAATGTTTGGATGAATGGCGTTAAAACGATTGTAACAAAGAGCTAAGTTCTAATCACAAGCCAGGTAAGTAAACAATGTTTGTTCTTGTGGTTTTAGTAAACTGAAAAATCCACTTCCTGCCATAAAAGGATTGGACCAAATCCTTCCAGTTTCAGACACCTGATTATTCCTGTTTATATTGGCGTCCCACACTCACCAACGCTCAATTCTGAGATGTAAAGTCTTGTTTTCTGATTTTCAAGAAATAATGAAAACTTCTCTTTACAGACATCTGCTCTGTTTTAACACCCTTTAATCAAACAGTATACTACCATTGTCACTTTCTCACAACCATTAAATGAAGTGGAAATTCTGTCAAAATGGTGGAGCACTGCCCAGACGTAAGAAATGTGATGTCCATTGGGAACTATGTATAACAGCACAACAATAAACTCATCTTCTTTTCTATTCACAAAACAATTTTAAAAGCAATTTTTAATGCTACTGACTATTTAATAAAATACCTCTCCTGGAAATGTATAGTGTAGTCACATTATGACAGCTTTACCAGCACTGCTTTGCAGTAAGTCATAAAACATAACGGAACAGATCAAAAAGAAAAAATAAGTAGGTCCTCTGAATGGGTTCTTCTGTTTCATCTCTCCTCCAATAGACTTCTTCAGGCTGATGAGTTTCAGGTGAACTCAGCCTTATAAGTACTGCCTCCACATGGACAAACAGGTTAGTCACGTGCAAAAGAGGACCATCAACTAACAATAGGCTTGATTAGCTCTATTGTTCACTAAAGAAGAACCCATCCAGAGGACCTACTTATTTTTTCTTTTTGATTTTTTTCTACCTGGATTACTGAGATGCATCAGGACATAACCAAACCGAGTATATCTGTGTTTACTAGGGGTGTAACAGTACATGTAAGTTACAGATTAGTATGTAGCTTGGTGTGGTTCAGTACAACAGAAAAATAAAGCACTTTTTAAATTTTTTTATTTATTTTTACAAAAATCCTTCTAGAACTAGACACGAAAAAGTGTAATTTGGTACCTCTAAGTTCACACTGCAGGTCATGCTCAGTTCTGATTTTTTAGAAATATATGTCCACTGCACATACACAGCAATCCACCAAAATTAGATTTGATGCTATTTATGTAGAATGGTGGAGCAAGTGAGGAGTCAAACTACAAAGATCATACCAACAGGAAAATGAATGAACACAACATGCATATTTTCTAAATAATTCACCAAAGACAAAATGCATTTTGTCGAAATCCTGGCTTTATTAATAAATATATTTGCTGTAAAAATGTATCATTCTGTTTGGGAAGTAGATTGCACTGTGCAGCGTATGCATACACACATAAAACAAATGGATTTTATTCTGAAATATAGATTCAAAATAAAAAAAAAGACAACATATACTCTCACCGGCCACTTTATTATGTACACCTTGCTAGTACCGGGTTGGACCCCCTTTTACCTTCAGAACCGCCTTAACCCTTCGTAGCATAGATTCATCAAGGTACTGGAAACATTTTTGAGTGGGTTTGGTCCTATATTGACATGATGGCATCACACAGTTGCTGCAGATTTGTCAGCTGCACATCCATGATGCAAATCTCCCGTTCCACCACATCCCAAAGATGCTCTATTGGATTGAGATCTGGTGACTGTGGAGGCCATTTGAGTACAGTGAACTCAYTGTCATGTTCAAGAAACCAGTCTGAGATGATTCACGCTTTATGACATGGCAAGTTATCCTGCTGGAAGTAGCCATCAGAAGTTGGGTACACTGTGGTCATAAAGGGATGGACATGGTCAACAACAATACTCAGGAAGGCTGTGGTGTTGACACGATGCTCTAATGGGCCCAAAGTGAGCCTGGAAACTATTCCCCACACCATGACACCACCATCAGCAGCCCGAACCGTTGATACAAGGCAGGATGGATCCATGCTTTCATGTTGTTGACGCCAAATTCTGACCCATCCGAATGTTGCAGTAGATATCGAGACTCATCAGACCAGGCAACGTTTTTCCAATCTTCTCTTGTCCAATTTCGATGAGCTTGTGCAAATTGTAGCCTCAGTTTCCTGTTCTTAGCTGACAGGAGTGGCACCCGGTGTGGTCTTCTGCTGCTGTAGCCCATCTGCCTCAAGGTTTGACAAGTTGTGTTTAGAGATGCTCGTCTGCAGACCTCGGTTGTAACGAGTCACTGTTGGTGTTGTATCAGCTCGATCCTGTCTGGCCATTTTTCTCTGACCTCTGACAGCAACAAGGCATTTGGCCCCACAGAACTGCYGCTCACTGGATATTTTCTCTGTTTTGGACCATTCACTGTAAACCCTAGAGATGGTTGTGBGTGAAAATCCCAGTAGATCAGCAGTTTCTGAAMTACTCAGACCAGCCCTTCTGGTACCAACAACCATGCCACGTTCAAAGGCACTYAAATCACCTTTCTTCCCCATACTGATGCTCGGTTTGAACTACAGCAGATCGTCTTGACCACGTCTACATGCCTAAATGCATTGAGCTGCTGCCATGTGATTGGCTGATTCGACATTTGCGTTAATGAGTTGCTGGACAGGTGCACCTAACAAAGTGGCTGGTGAGTGTATAACATTTGATTGATCCAACAGGGAAAAAATATGCAAACAAAAACAAATGAGTAGCTTGTTGAAGGATTCAGAAATAAAAATGATTTTTCTTCATGAAGCAGGTGACAACAGCTGTTGTCTTGTTCTGTACAATTAGTTTCCAGTTTTCATCATAAACTCTCTCTGAATGAAATCTGAAATGTATGTATGATATTGTATGTCTTTCTTAAAGAAAAGTTTGGTTGTTCTTTGATAGGTGACGAGGAAAATCATCCTGAAAGCAATTACTTTTTTTATAACTAAATTAATAAGATAAGTGAGAAAAATGTCAGCATCTACTTGTGTATTTCCTTTAGAGCTAACGACCTCTATTTCCACCTCCTGGTCCATGTAGCTTCATATCACCACTGACTGAAAATGGGCTGCTTCTCTGCCCACACTCTTCCTCACTGAACCTGAACCAAACTGAAGTTCCAGCATCATCTCTTTGTCCTGAACAGACTGGTGATTCATCACATATTCAGGATGTTTAGCTGGTAGATAAAATAATTTTGTGTTATATCTGTGACTTTTTTGTCTAAACTGAACCAAACATATTTCTTTCCAGGGTTTTTAAACTGCAGATATATTGCAAATAATGATTAATAAAGAGCAGGTGGTGGATGAGCGGCCCAATAAAACATTGAATTATACAACAGATGTTTGTTTCTTTGTGTGTTTTAAGAGGACTGTTATTGTATTTGCATTATTTTAAGCATTGTAAAGCTGTCCTTCCTAATATTATTTTGAAGGATTTCATAAAAATACTCTGTTCTACTGATGGCAATAAATAAGTGTTAAGACAGCAGCTGAAATCTGAAACCTGTTTGGACTGTGGACAGCTCTGTCCTCTGATCATCAGATGGTGAAGACAATGACTTTGTGCCTGAAACCTGTCAGCATTTTGAATTGAGACAATGATTCTATTTATGATTCACAGGTTTATGAGTTCAGAGGGTTTCTTGCATCAAACAGATGCTTCATGTGGCGCTTACTCCTCACACATCTTTAATGTGTCATGTTATCTCTTACTTTTAATAGATTTAGGCATGAGACACGCTAAATCAGTCATTTCTGTTTTAGGTGCTTTGTACACTTTAATTCAGTTCAAAAATACTTTATTGATCCCAGAGGGAAATGAGATGATGTTGTAACTCATTTAACTAAAGACTTATTGTAGCTGGTCATGRCTGTGGGCCGGAAAGATCTTCTGTTGCCGTCTGTATTACAATGGAACTGAAGAAGCCTTCGACTGAAGACGCTCTRTTGTTCTATGACAGTCTGATGAAGAGGATGGTCAGGGTTGTCCACAATGTTCTTGATTTTATGTAAAATCATTTCCAGAGGTTCCACAGTCGTCCCCAGAACAGAAACAGCCTTTTTAGG